ACCCTGGGCCGGTGTTCTGGGGCGCCTCCTGGCCTCTTCCCGAGGCCCCCGGCTCCTTTCGGGAGCGCCAGCAATGGGTGCCCTGGTGTTTCTTAGAATTTCGATTTCCTGAAATGGGTGTAAAGCGGACTCGCGGCTGAACTCGGGCCAGCTCAGGCCGGTGTGAGTTTGGGGCTGTCTGTTCTGCCCCCGACAGGGGGGACTCTGCGCCTCCACTCTCCGCCTAGGAAGTCTCTTCTCACACTCTCCCCCACCCCACGCCCCGGCGGGAGGATGAAATCTCCACGGGAGACACTGAAGCCTTCAGAGGACCAGCCGCCTCATTTCCCATGGACGCTCCACCTACCCAAGCGCAGGACACTGTGCCTGGAGCGCGTCAGAGAAGCGAGGTGGGCAAAGACCAAAGCGGTTTGGTGACCTCATGACTTCTGGCCCGGGACCCAGGAGCTGGGAGTGCGTGAACTCGGCGTCCTTCCCCAGGATGGGACCCCTGGCCGGGCGGGCCCCTGCGCCTTAGACCCGCCCCTGCCGCCGCCCGGCCCGGTGCAGGCCGCCATAATCGGGTTAGCTGGGTCGGAATTACATTACCTTCCCCGGCCCGGCCTGGCCCCGGGGGGGCCCTGGCGCCTCCAAGCCGGTGAGACTGGGCGCAGGGAGAGGGGGGGGGCTTCTTCACATCCCGCGGACGGGTTGGCACCGACGAGCAGCTTGGCCCGCCTCGGACACGTGGTGGCCAAAGGGCCCCACCCCGATGTGCCAACCCAGCTCCTCGACCCCAGCCCACTCTGTGCTCCGTTCCAGGCTGCCTGGTGCTCCATGGGAGCCAGCGTGCCTTCTCCTTCTAAGCCTAGTAGACGGGTCTCCCTAGGAGCGCGGGATCTTCCAGTTGATTCTTCCGGATCTTCTGGGAAAGGCGCAGATCCTTCTTTCTCCCCAGCAGATGGGCTGGCAGACTGGTGCCTGGGGCAGGGTGATGGGTCCTTTCTCTCTAGGGGATGGAGGAATGGTATTTGAGCATCTGGGCAGGAAAATAAAGAAGAGAAAAAGGGAGTGGGCTCTCTCCCCACCAAAACCACCAGCCCCTCTGTTCTCAGAAGCCTCAGTTTGAAGGCTGGGGGAGGGAGCAGTGGGCATTAATACTAACATCCTTCCCCAACCTTGTTCACACCCATCATCCAATTCTTCCAGCCCTTACCCCGCCCTGTCAACCACCTCTTCTGAAAGGGGGTGGGGGACATGCAAATTTGGCAGGTGTGTTCTTGGTGAAAAAGACAGGCATCATCACCTCCCCTAGCCTTTCACAAAAGCACAAGCAACCTTTTCAACAATAGAGGGATGGGGCTACTAGGGCACGTGAAACCTGCTATTTAGGCAAAACCTTCTGAAATAGCGTGGCTGATCCCCCCAGATGTGAACAGAGAGGCTAAGGAGACAGCAAACTAAATAAGCCTTTGGCCCTGGCTGGGTAGCTCGGTTGGTTAGATTCTCATTCATTCTCTCTCTCTCTCTCCCTCCCTCCCTCCCTCCCTCCTTCCTTCCCTTCCTCTCTCCTTCCTACTCTCCTTCTCTCTTCCTCTAAAATCAATAAATAAAAAAATTTAAAATACATAAATAAAGCCTCTGAAGGGGACTGACCTGCAGGTTAGGAGTTTGCCAGTCCCTTTCCCACTCTAGGGGGTGGGCCTCTGAGAAGAGTGTGACACTAGTGTATCTCCAAACAAGCTGAATAAATGCATCAATGGAATGCATCAACGAGTGAATCAATGAAGAAGAAAAAGTCAGCCTAGTACAGACCTGTATACCTGCTTATTATACATCCTGCCTTTTAAGGTCAGCACAGATGGCACTGCCACCCAGAGATTGCCTAACTGATCCTTTAAGGAGAATGGCCATAAACCAGTAGTACATACACATCTTCTACAGAGTTAAAACTTTTTTTTTTCAGTGCCCCACTTCAAGAACAAGGGCTTTCAGTCTGTCAGCCACAGTCCTAGGAATTCCTCTGCTTGCCTTCACTTTGCGGATTCCCTGATTCTCTCGGAAGTGTGGTTCCTGCTAAGTTATGTTGAAGATGGAGGTTCTGTGGTCAGCACCTCCACCTCCCATACACACCGCTTTGGGTTTATCTCACCATATTCTACATGCATGTGGCCCCCAACTCTTCAAGTTTTCAAGCCTGTACCTTCACAAGAAGAGGCCACATGCCCAGCCTGTGCTTCTGTGCCTTCCCTTCCTTCCTGCTATTGGTATAGTAGCCTTCCCTTGAGATGGTCCCCCCACTCCTGTATCATCATTTCTCTCATTAACTTAGCTCTTCCTACCCCAACTGTCTTAGATCGCTGTTATCTCCCATCCAAGTACTAACCAGGCCCGACCCTGCTTAGCTTCCGAGATCAGACGAGATCGGGCGCGTTCAGGGTGGTATGGCCGTAGACAGATCGCTGTTATCTAGGCAAAGTCTTTGCCCGACTCTTCATGGAAGATTGTTTTCTTTTCGTGCCCACACCCACTGCCTCCATTTCCTCATTAAATTTATTCTTTTAACCCACTGCAAGCTGGCTTCACAACACCAACCATCTCAGGAAGCGTCAGTATCCAGTGTCCATTACCCAGAGATTTCAGACATGTTTTACTTCATTGATCACCATTTCTTGAAATGTCCCCTTTTTCGGCTTCCTTATGTAATACTGTCTTTTTTTTTTAAATATATTTTATTGATTTTTTACAGAGAGGAAGGGAGAGAGATAGAGAGTTAGAAACATCGATGAGAGAGAAACATCCATCAGCTGCCTCCTGCACATCTCCTACCGGGGATGTGCCCGCCACCCAGGTACATGCCCTTGACCGGAATCGAACCTGGGACCTTTCAGTCCGCAGGCCATCGCTCTATCCACTGAGCCAAACCGGTTTCGGCTATGTAATACTGTCTTATTCTACATCTTTGGACTTGCATAGTGACTGCTTATGTTTTTTTCCTCCACTGGCTTTTCTTTTTCTACTATTGACTGTGAGCATTCTTTAGAGTCCAGACTTCAGTTTTCTCTCTGTCTCCATCTGCTCAGGTTTCATCCATTTCAATAGCTCCATCTACTACATCCACCCAGAAAACTCTGAGACCTTCATCCCTGGTTCTGACACTGGTGCTCCAGCCCCACCATTCCAGCCTTCTGGCCAACTGCACCTGCCTTTGCTGCAGCCACCTTAAGTCCACCAGGCTGGAAGACAGGCTCTCCGCCCAAGCTCCTTACTCCCTCCTATTGTGCTTTCCTTTGAAATTCATATACAGCCCTTCCTTTCCATTCCCACTGATAAAAGCCTAATCTAGGCCATCATCACAACTACCTACATTCATTCATTTGTTCATCCAGAAAAAAAAATGTTTTTAATCCTCATCCGATATTATCCATTGATTTTTAGAGAGAGGGAAAGACAGAGAGAAACATGGATTGGTTGCCTCCTGCAAGAGCCCTGACCAGGGCCCAGGCCAGGGAGGAGCCTGCAGCCATGGTACATGCCCTTGACTGGAATCAAACCCTGACTGGAATCAAACCCAGGACCCTTTGGTCTGCAGGCCAACACTCTATCCCCTGAGCCAAACTGGCTAGGGCCATCCAGAAATTTTTTATTGAACATGGCACTGTTAGTCCTCTGTACCTGGCACTGGAGATATAAGATGTATAAACACAACAGGGGAAAACAGTCTATGCCACTGAGAAGCTTATATTTTAGTGGGGGAGGCAGGTGTAAAACAAGAAAAATATACATTAAATAATAATAATTCCCAAAAAGAACAAAATAAAGCAAGGAAGGGGGAGAAGAAATAAAAGGGTAGGGAGCTGTGATTTATCTAGAATAATCAAAAAAGGCCTTGTGGAGTGCCAGGCTGGTGTGGCTCAGTGGCTGAGCATCAACTTATGAACCAGGAGGTCAGGACTCATGCCCAGGTTGCATTGGGGGGCTCTGCTCCCAGTAGAAGACCTGCAGGGGGCAGCTGATCAATGATTCTCTCTCTCATCATTGATGTTTCTCTCCTTCTCCCTTTCTCTCTGAAATCAATAAAAATGATAATAATAATAAAGGCCTTGTGGAGTAAAGACCTGAAGGAAGAAAGGTACCATTTGGGCATCTGAACTTTTCCAGTTGGTGACAGTGTGGGAGTACATTCTGGTGTGTCTGTGGAGCAGTGAGAGGTCAGTGTGGCCAGAGACTGAGTGACTGCGAGACCATGCAGAGCCTTGCAGGCCACTGTAAGGACTTTGCCTTTTATTCTGATTAAAAAGGGAAGCTGCCCCAGTGGTTTGGCTCAGTGGATAGCGTTGGCCTGCGGACTGAGGGGTCCCGGGTTGGATTCTGGTCAAAGGTGCATGCCCAGGTCCCAGGTGAAAATATATTTTTTTAATAAAGGGAAGTTATTGGAAGTTTATAAACAAAAAAGTAAGGCACCCATTTTTAAATTTTATTTTTAACAGCTTTCTTAAGGTAAACCTGACATACAATACACTGCACATATTTAAAGGGTACAATGTGAAAAAAATAAAGTGTACAATGTGATAAGTTTTGACGTATGCATACACCCATGAAACCACCAACACAAACAAGATAATAAACATACCCATCAACTCAAATTTTTTCCCTTATATCCTTTTTTATTCCTATTTTACCAGAATTACTCTGAGCTGCTGTATTGAAAATTGCTGAAAGAGGGGCAACGGTGGAGGCAAGAAAAGCGGGCAAAAAAACCAGTACTCATCCAGAGGACAGATGATGGCATCTTGGACCAACGAGGTAAGCCATGGCTATAGTGAGTAGGTGATTAAAGCATCACCACTCCCAAAACTTCTTGCCGCTTATCCACTCCAGTTCACTCTGAACATCAATGCACAAAAATGTTTCTCTCATAGGGTCACCCCCCTCTGCAAAAGAGTCAGCTAGCTCTCCAAGGCCCACACCCTCAAAGTCCCAGCTCCGTCCAGTCCTGCTGCTTCTACCACTGCTCTCAAATGCACCCCTTGGCCTCCTCCCTGTCCCCCTCGGCCCCTCCCCTCCGCGCAGCCTTCCTCTTCTATTCCCACCACACTTCTTCCGCACCCCAGCTCTAAACTGTGCCCACACCAAGCCCCACCTCCTTCAGCAAGCCTTTCGAGGTCTGCACTGGGATCTCCCCTTCTTTCATCTCCAACTGCACTTGGTGCTAATACTTCACAGTAAACTGACCCTTGGTTTTAGTGCTACTGGAGGCACCTGGGGACAGCGGCGCGCAAGCTTTCGGGACCCCTGCGTCTCCCCCAAACACCGAGCTGAGCTTCTGCTCCTGCAGGGACCCGCCGCCGGGGCGCGTCGGCGTGCGGCCGTGTCCTAGTCGTCCTCCCCTCCTCCTTCGGCATCTGCTCTGCATTAGTCTGTCCCAGGCCTCCGCAGGCGCCGGTGATTGAATCATCATCATTAACGAGGGCCTGCCCCCCTCCTCCCGGCGGCAGGGGAGGACGGCGGGGGGGATGTAAGATCACTACCAAGTCTCTAGGGGTTCCTCCTCCCGTCGCCCTCCCCGAGCCTCCGCAAAGCCCCGGGAAACTCCCGCTCTGGAGCCGGGAGAAGGCCCACCGTCGGAGGTAGCTCCGCATTGTCTTGCGTCGGCCGACGAGAGCGACATAACACGGAGAGCGCGGGAGGGGCTTTAGCGTGGTTGTCACCAGAGCTGGGCGACCCTGCGCGGTGGCGGGCGGAGACGCCCGGCCTTCGGGGGAAGGAGGAGGCAGGCTTTTGCCGGCTCCAAAAGTTCGTCCCGAGGTCCGGTCGGGTCTACGATGATTATTACTGCAGGAGGTCAATGAGATAGGGCCCCTCCCCACACACCCCCCACTCCCCAATTACCAACTGCGGAGGGGGAGGGGCCACTGGGGCTCAGGTGAGCACACGGGGGAGAAAGGACGTGGGCGGGGCCTTACGGAGAGTCAGCGAATCCGAAAAGACCTAAGCCCTCGTTGCTCGGCGACAAGTCCCGCCCTGCAGGCGGCACCGGAAGTGGCAGGCCAGGATCAGCCTTTAAGATGGCGTCTCCTCAGGGGGGCCAGATTGCGATCGCGATGAGGCTTCGGAACCAGCTCCAGTCAGTGTACAAAATGGACCCGCTACGGAACGAGGTGCAGGGGCGGCAGGGTTACTGCTGTGGTCGGCCAGCGGGGCTGACTGGGGCCGACTAGAGGACAGGCCGGGACCGGCCGGGCGCCCAGTGCGCCTGCGCAGAGGCGGGGGTCACAGTGCGCCTGCGCGATTGCGGTCCGAGTTGCCAAACTCTGGGCTAAGACGCCTGCGTGTTGTGCCGCTGTCGTCGTATGGTCTCCCCTGGGAAAGGAAGGTCGGGCCAGTCCACGTGAAGGGAGCCCCCGCTATGCGCGGAGACCTCTGCTGGGCGAGGGGTAGTGTCAGACCCCGGGAGCTAAGCCCTTGCTGACCATGCAAGGTGCGGGGTTTGGCTGTGAGATGTGATGAAAGAGGGGACTCCCAGGCTGGGAAGGCACCGGGGTTGGGATTGGGAAGGGTGATCGGTGACGGAGGGTGTGTCCGCAGGAGGAGGTCCGAGTAAAGATCAAAGACTTGAATGAACACATCGTCTGCTGCCTGTGCGCTGGCTACTTCGTGGATGCCACCACCATCACAGAGTGTCTCCATACTTGTGAGTTCCCTGGACCCTGGCTGGTTCTTCCAGGCCCTGGTTCCCACCCAGCTGGCTGGTAGCCTCTGCACCGCCTGCCCCAACCACCCAGGCACCCCGTCCAGCCCGAGAACCTGATTCCCCGAGGGCCTGAGAGTCTGTTTTCCTTTTCCTCCAGTCTGCAAGAGTTGTATTGTGAAGTACCTCCAAACCAGCAAGTACTGCCCCATGTGCAACATCAAGATCCACGAGACACAGCCACTGCTCAACCTCAAACTGGACCGGGTCATGCAGGACATCGTGTACAAGCTGGTGCCCGGCTTGCAAGACAGTGAGTGACCAACCTGACTCTGAGGGGCTTCTAGAGGACGGATGCTGGGTAGCAGCTTGCGGTGACGAGGGCTTTGGTGGGCATCGTGTAGGTAAAGAGGTTGACAGCCAGAGGGACAGTTAAGACTTGACTCCCATACTCCACTCCCTTCCAGGTGAAGAGAAACGGATTCGAGAATTCTATCAGTCCCGAGGCTTGGACCGAGTCACGCAGCCCGGTGGGGAAGGTATGTCCCTTGGCAGCAGGAGGGTAAGGGAAAGCCCCCAGAGCATTCCTCCTGCCCAGTTTTGCTCTCTGGGGGAAGAGGAGTGTGGAATCTGTGCTGCTCGCCTCACTACTCTGTCTTTCTCAGAGCCAGCCCTGAGCAACCTCGGCCTCCCCTTCTGCAGCTTTGACCATTCGAAAGCCCACTACTATCGCTATGATGAGCAGCTGAGCCTGTGCCTGGAGCGGCTGAGGTGAGAGGCAGGTCCTGGGCTGTCTGAAGTGAGAGTGTCAATGACCCAGAGTCGGGGAGGGGCTCACGGAGAGGGCTGGCAGTAGGCTAAGCGAGTGTCTGTTCCCTTGAAGAGAGAATGCCATGCTGCTGGGTGGGCATGCGGGGGAGGGGAGGATGATAGTGCTCCCTAACCTGTGTCTGTTTGCCCCCAGTCTGGCAAAGACAAGAACAAAAGCGTCTTGCAGGTGAGAGGGCTGTGGGAGGGCCTCTCAGGAGACTCACCTCCTCGGGGCCCTTCTCTCACACTCCTTGTCCTCCTTTCCCTGCCCACCCTCAGAACAAATATGTCCGGTGTTCTGTTAGAGCCGAGGTTCGTCATCTCCGGAGGGTCCTCTGTCACCGCTTGATGCTAAATCCCCAGCATGTGAGTGTCCCACAGTAGGTTTCTTTGGGAGGAGAAGGGGCCACAGGGGGAGGGAGAGTTTAGAGGGGACCAGGCGAGTTCTTGATGGTGCGAAAGGAGACTTCCTAACACAGTGCTCCCACCTCCCTGCTAGGTGCAGCTCCTCTTTGACAATGAAGTTCTCCCCGATCACATGACCATGAAACAGATCTGGCTCTCCCGATGGTTCGGCAAGGTGAGCCAGGTCCAAGGCAGTTCCAGGGCAGGGGTGGGCTGAGGGGGCCTTTTTCGCAGGAACTCTCCCGCTGACGACTTCTTCCCCTTGTTCTCCCCTTAGCCAGCCCCTTTGCTTTTACAGTACAGTGTGAAAGAGAAGAGGAGGTAGGGGCCAAGCCCCTGCTCCACCCCTCTCCCCGTCCCTCCCCAGATATTTATGTGAAATTGTGGCTTTATTTTTTGAAATAAAAACTTTTAAAAAGCACCTCTCTTCTTCCTTCTTATCCCTACCACACACTCATACTTTGTCCTGTGTCCTGCTTCCCTCAGAAATCCTCTGAGTGTCATCAAGAAGGATGACCCTCAGCAAATGACCACAGGAGAGGGGTAGAGGACCCTACTTACGTAAAACCCAGGTGAGCTGAGTGAAGTCAGGCCCCCGCACCAGCTGTTTTGGTGAAGGGAAGTTTTTCTGGAGGGGAACTCTCTCTGTCCTTGAATGTTGCAACATGTGGCAAGGGCCGGAGTGTCCTAAGGCAAGAGTGGTGAGAGTAGGGCTTGGGTTGGACAGTGGTCACTGCAGGACTGGAGAAGAGTGATATTATAAAGAAAAATCCAAAGATGTGCATAATCAGAGGAGGCTAAAAAAAAGGGGCATGGGACACTCACAGGGATCGAGTTGGAGACATGGCTGTCTAGTCAAGCTTCAGCAGGCCTACAGGTACCTGGGCGAGGGGAGGCCAGCTGTAGAGAGAGGAATTGAGGGGGAGAGGGAGCTGGTGCCCAGGAGGGCAAAGGCAGCTCCAAGGAACAAGAGGGAAGCAGCAAGGCTAGCACTCCACTGAGTAAGTCAGCAAGCTTCCTGGTCTGTGCCAGCCTGGCCATGAGCACTGAGCTCTGGAAATAAACCCAGCCAGCATTCCTGTTCTGTGGGTCTCTAACTAGGGTAGCCAGAACTTGCAGTGTGTGTGTGTGTGTGTGTGTGTGTGTGTGTGTGTGTGTGTGTGTGAGAGAGAAAGGGTGGTTCTGAGGAGTGACTGGAGGGAGAGGTGTGGGCTAAGGGGAAAGATAGACACCCCTGGGGACTTGGGCGGCTCAAGCAGCTGCAGGAATTGGGGAGTGTCTGATTGGGGCTGGGCTTGGGTCAGGAATGCCCAGCCAGCCCTGGCTGGTGGTTCAATGGTTAGAGTGGCCACTGGTGCACCAGAGGGTCATGGTTCGATTCCCTGCCAAAGGCAGGTCCCTGGGTTGCAGGTTCATTGCTGTTTGGCCTCCTCTGTTGGTGCGTGGGGGAAGCAACCAGTCACGGGTGTCTTTCACAGGATGTTTCTCTCCCCCCTCCCTCCCTTCCACTCTGAAAAACAATGGAAAAAATATCCTCAGGTGACGATTAACAAAAATAAACAAAAAGAATGGCCAGCTAAAAGAGGAGGCTGCCTGAGGGCCCCCAGGCCTGAAGACCAAACCTGGGGGTGAGGCCTTTGATGACACCTGGCTTGGGGCCCAGGAGCAGCCGGGGGCATTCGGGCCGGATCTGGGGGAGCAGCTGCCCCGCCTCACCCCCAGCTCAAGGCAGCCTGATTTCTGTCTGTCGGCGGCTGTGCAGCGGCCAACTTCCCCAGGTTGCTGACGCAGGCCAGCTGCGGGCTCCGCATCTCTCTCCCTCATCTAGGGGCTCCTTCCCCTGCTCTCTGGCCTGCTCCACGCAGCAGACCCTATCCCCCGGGTCACTTGGTTCTGGATCTGCGCCAGGGGCCAGGGCGGATGGATCCCGCCCGCGGTTCTCTTGGGCTCTGACAGCCCGCGCGCACCGGCCCGCTCCTGGCGTCCATGTCAGTCCTCACCCGCAGGCCCTCGCCCGCCGGTGCCTCTGCCGCCGCCCTATCTCACCCAGCCGCTTCCGCCTGGGAGATTCGCCCCAGCCTTTGGCACAGAGAGGGGGGGACTCGTCCTTCTCAGCCTGGCCTGTTTCTCCCAAGACTTGGGGTAGGGGGAGGCTGGGAGAGGATATAAGGACAAGGGACTGACTTCCCCGGGACCCTGAGTCCCAGGGTGTAAGTGTGCAGAGGCGGGAGGCGTCTGAGTATCCGGCAGCTCCCCATCCGGCCCGCCCGCACACCCCGGGCTGGCGGCGGTTACGCAGAGCTGTGTGAACCAGTGTAAAGGGCCGGAAAGAACTTACAAACCCGAGTCCTAGAAATAACGAAACTGAAACTTGAGGATCCAAATCCGTTCACTCTGCAGTAATGTTTTCGGCAAGAGAAAATCCCAGAAGTGTGCGAGATGGATGGATGCCCGCGCCAAGCTCCTCTGCTTGGAGTTTCCCCCATAAACTCCCACTTACCTCTCATGCTGGCTAAAGTTATTGGGGCAAGGCGGGCGAGGGGGTGGGGGGGCATATCTCCCAGACTGTCCTTTGCACCGCCCCAGGGGAGTTATTCTGAGGATTCCCCCAATACCTCCCCCACACACACTCACAAAATTCAGAGGATTGCCTAGGGTGCAACATCTGAAGACTAAAGGTAGTTTATTGAGCAGATTTCTGTACCAACAAGAGGGGTCAATCTGGGGCAGGCCTAGGTGGGGTTGAAGGGACTCACCAGATGAGAGGCTGCGGATGGCTGGGTGAGTGAGAGGCGCGGTGTCTGGGAATGAGAGAAAAGGTGGGGGTGATGAGGAAGGGGAATAAGGTTGGAGATAAGGTGCAGAGATGAGGAAATGGAAATCTGAAAGGGCCTGATGGGAGGTGAGAGAAAGTATTAAGGGGGAATTGAGCCCTAGCTGGTTTGGCTCCGTTAGCCTGCGGACTGAAGGGTCCCGGGTTTGATTCCCACCAAGGGCACATGCCCAGGTTGTGGGCTTGATCCCCAGTAGGGGGTGTGCAGGAGGCAACCTACCAATGATTCTCTCTCAACATTGATGTTTTTCTCTCCCTCTCCCTTCCTCTCTGAAATCAATAAAAAATATTTTTAAAAAGAGGGAATTTAGCCCAGCCGGTGTGGCTCAGTGGTTGAGTGTCAACCCATGAGCCAAGAGGTCACAGGTTCAATTCTGGTCAGGTTAGGGCACATGCCTGGTTGCGTGCTTGATCCCCAGTGGGGGGCATGTAGGAAGCAGCAGATCAATGTTTCTCTCTATTCTTCTCCCTTCCTCTCTCTCTAAATCAATAAAAACATATTTTTTATTTAAAAATATATTTATTGCCGAAACCGGTTTGGCTCAGTGGATACAGCGTCGGCCTTTGGACTGAAGGGTCCCAGGTTCGATTCCGGTCAAGGGCATGTACCTGGGTTGCAGGCACATCCCCAGTGGGGGATGTGCAGGAGGCAGCTGATCGATGTTTCTCTCTCATCGATGTTTCTAACTCTCTATCTCTCTCCCTTCCTCTCTGTAAAAATTCAATAAAATATATTTTTAAAAAATAAAAATAAATTTATTGATTTCAGAGAGGAAGGGAGAGGGAGAGATAGAAACATCAATGATGAGAATCATTGATTGGCTGCCTCCTGCACGCCCCTAGTGGGGATCGAGCCACAACCCGGGCATGTGCCCTGGCCGGAATTGAACCAGGACCCCAGTCCGCAGGCCGAAGCTCTATTCCACTGAGCCAAACCTGCTAGGGCAATATATTATTTTAAGAGAGAATTGAGGCACCTTCCTGAGGGAGTGAAAGTCGGCATGTGGAGATCTCTATGAGGGGAGGGAGTGGAAGACCCTGAAGTTTCTGAACAGAACAATGAGGGAATCTGAGGAGAAGTGAGGGATGCTTGAGATGCAGGAGAGGAAACTGTCGTCCTGGTAGGGATGGGGCTAGCCTTGCTGACATGATTTATGTCTTGTGGATGGCTCTAGGAAGGACCCAAGGCAGGGAGGGTTGGACCATGGGAGGGGGGAGGAAGAGGCTCACATCAGGGAGCACTGGGACCTGTCAGCCCCCCCCCCAAACTGAGTGGGGGAAGTCTATGAGTCAACTGAGTGCCCCCCAAGCCTAGAACCCAGGTTTAATCTTTTAATCTTCCTCATTAATCACTCACCCTCCTCCTACCCGCTCCGAGGATCCGGTTTCTCTCCAGCTCAGGTTCCAGAGGCTTCGCTGGGAAAAGTCCCCTCCTGTGGCCCCACAATAGGCTGGACAAGTCGCTGGCTGCTGGGGAGACCTTAGTTGGGCTCTGCTGTCAGCAGCCTCCTCCCATTACTAGTCTCTCCTTCCCTCTCCTCCCCCAAACGCACATCTGGGGATTGCCCCTAACCCCATTGTCCAACCCCATTACCAGAGCCCAGTTAGCATAGCAGAGAAGGTAGGCAGGAGAGATGGCAGGGGAGGAAGGCCAGGGCCCTTTAGGAGAGCCCCACACTCCCCACAGACACACACTAGATACTGAGAGCAAGAGATGACAAATGCAACACAGATGATGCATGAGTGAAAGTTGTAGTGTCTGGTGACTGGCCTGGTACACGAGCTAGCCAGTTCCTGCATCCTCCTGGGACCCTCTTTAATTTCAGATTAAGTGAAACCACCAGGATGGTTCAGAGGGCTAAGGCCTCCAGCTAGGAGGATCTCTCCTGACCCTCCTCTGCCCCCCACCATTAATAACCAATTAACAAGGTCCTGACGCATCTCAGCTTTCTGCTGTGGCCTGGCTATGCTCTCTGACCCATTGGGCTGTGTTGCTCAGGCTGCCACCAGAGCACTGTGAGTATCTGTGGGTATGGGGGGAAGGGATGGTCATTGAAGGGAGCCTTTGCCAAAAAGACTCTGTGTTTGTCTACTTCCATTGGGTGGTGAGGTCAGTATCACACGGTGAGGTTTCTTACACCCTCCCCCCCACCCCCACTGTGATCAAAGTGTCTTCCTGTCTTTGTCAAGGAGTCTTTGGCCCACATGCCTCAGATCTCCCAAGCTCTGATTGGGGCACCCCAACCACAGGCTCCGCTTGACCCAGGGAATAGACCGGTAGACCCAGAAGATCACTGCACAGATGGTGGGAGGTGTAGAGGTTTACAGAGAAGGTGACAGAATGGACAGTCCAGGAGGGACCGGCCTACTTCTTCATGGCACTGATAGGAAAAAACTAGAAGAAACCCATAGCAGAGAGTTCCTTCAGAGTGCCAGTTCCGCAGGAGTGGTGGGGCTTGTCTCTGGGTTATAAACCCACCGGCTATTTGGGATGTGATATGCGAACAAAAGCCTTGCCTTGTTGGCTCTGCTGGTGGAGCAGCTGTCCCAGAACTGCCTTATTCCTACAATGGAGGGCGGTGGAGGTGCTCACCCTGGTGTGAGCCCTGGGTTAGGTGAGGGGGATGGGGGGGAGTGGGGGGGGAAGAAGAGAAGAGCGAATGACATCTAGGATGCAGATAAAATAGGAATGACTATCGCAGTCCTTAGAGTTTGTCCCTGGCTTGGCAGGGGTTTCTGTTCCAGAATCTGGTTGGATGTATCAAGTCACTCCTCTATAGGGGCCCCTCTCACCACTGCTCCCAGGCTGGGGAACCCCAACTGGGACTACAGGAGCTTAATGAGGAAACAAAGGCATCAACTGATAGACTCAGGGGTAACCAGAAGGCCCTCTGTGGAGGCCAGTCTTTCCTGGCACAGACCCCTCCTGAGCAATAACCCTCGCTCTGGGTTTGCTGTGTCTTCTCTCCTGAGGGCCAGGTCTCCCCGCTTCTCCATGTTTTGTTTTGCTTTTTTAATTGATTTCAGAGGGCCTCTGAGCCCTGCTGGGGCAGCCTTGGGTCCAGCCTCAGAGCCGGCTGGAGTCCACTCACCTGCGCCGGCTTGTGCATCGCATCCCCACTAGACCCAGTGCAGTCGCTCTGCCGGCCAAGCGACTTGAGTCCCCCCAGGCCCAGTGCCCGCTAATAACTTCCAGCCGCGGGGACCTACTTTAAGAGCTTTCAGCAGGAGTGGGGCGGGGAGGAGGCGGCCAGGTCAGGAGACTGAGGTCCTTCCTAGGTGGGATGGGGATCTTAGCACAGTCAACTCTGAGCTCCTCGGAATTTTGCAAATCTCCGGCGCTGCGACCAGGGAAAGCAATTTTATTGCCTACGAGAGTTTATGAGCCGGAGCGGCGGCTAGGCGGGAGGGGGCCGCCCAGCAAGGGTCCAGCCAGAGTGAGCACAGGGCCGCGCCGGCAGCGCGGAGCAGCCAGGGGGCCAGTGCTGGCGAGTTACTCCGCCGGCTTCTCTGCGCGCCCCCGTAGCCTGTAGAAGAAATACCGCTGCCGGGACGTCTACCAGCTCCAGACCCACGGCGGCCCGGGGTTAGGGAGTGGGGGCGCAGGAGGAGGGGCACTCGGGGCTCGGGCCCAGCGTGGGGGGCGGGTCGGAGGAGGGGGCCCAGATCGGGAGCCGCGCGCTGGGGCCCAGGCGGCTGCGGAGCCGAGCACAGCGGGCGGCAGGACGGCCGCAGCCCGGCCGGCCGGCCATGAGCTCGGGCCCCGAGCCCCGGACAGCCCGCACACCCTTCAGCATCGCGGATATCCTAGGCCCTGGCATGGCCCCTCGAGGACCCTCTGCGCCGCAGCTTCCAGAGTCCAGCCCAGGTCCCACGTCGCCGCTGTGCGCGCTGGAGGAGCTGACTAGCAACGCTTTCCGCGGACTAGACGGGCTCGCCCTGCAGCGCTCCGAAGGTACAGCGCCGGCCAGGTCGCGCCCTGGGGCTTGGCCTTCTCCCCGTCTCTCTCTTCCAAGGTCCCGGCCGCCACCCCAATCTGCCCCCTGCCCTCAGCTCACGTGCGGGGTCTTGCACCTCCCGCTGCTCACCTCCCCTCTGTTGGTTCCCAGGCTCCCGGGCTGCCGGCGCTGAGGGAAGGGCCGGGCGGTCTAGAACTGAGCGACCCATTAGTCCTTTCGATGTAGGCGGGGCAGTCGCGACAGAAAGGAGACAAAAGGCCTGAGCCGGAGGCCGTAAAACAGTGAGCTAGGGCGAGGCGGGCGTGGAAGGTGCTGGGAGGCGAGGCTCCGGCTCCCCGGGTAATCACACTCCGCTCCGAGTCCGTCCCTCCCCGAGCGGGCGCAAGGAGCTGAAGAGCCTTGGGGCCGCCAGGGTCCCCGGCTCGAACTCCGCCTTTCCTTGCCCTCTACACACTCACTACCTCCCTTCTGTGCTTGGGGTGGGGGTGGGGGGGGAAGCATGTCACTAAGAGAGTAGCCGTTAGTGCCCGACACGACCCCCAAGTCTAGAGAAGGGCCCGATCGGGGTCCTGTTACACTCACCACCTCTGGTGCTGGTCCCGACCTGCAAGCCGGCTCCATCGGAGCCTCCGGGAGGCCTCCGCGGCCCCGCGCCAGACGTCCTGACCCTGCAGCTTGCCTCCCCCGGCCTGGCCGGCCTTCCTCCCTCTCCTCTCGCCGGATGCCCTCAGCCTGCTGCCTCCCGCATCCCCGTGGCTGGTTCCACTTCGTGCCCACCCCCTCCTCGGCCTGCCCCTCGCGCATTTCGCTAAGCGACCGCGGTGACCTCCCGCACCTTCACCCCCACCCTGGAACTCTGGTAGCGGCGGGGTTTCCCTCCAGGACGGAAGCCCATTCCCGCAGCCTGGAGACTGACTCGCACCCCATCTCCGCAGGCCGCGCGGCCCCGGGCGCTCTGGGCCACGGCCCCGCGGGCCGCAGACGGCGCAAGTCCCGCACGGCGTTCACGGCGCAGCAGGTGCTGGAGCTGGAGCGGCGCTTCGGGTTGCAGAGGTACCTGGCGCCCCCGGAGCGGGACGGGCTGGCGGCGAGGCTCGGCCTGGCCAACGCGCAGGTCGTCACGTGGTTCCAGAACCGGCGCGCCAAGCTCAGGCGCGACGTGGAGGAGATGCGCGCCGATGTGGCCTCGCTGCGCGCGTTGAACCCCGAAGTCCAGGGCCGCCTCGCGCTGCCAGACAGCGCCCGCGGCCTCGGCCTGGGCCCGGAGCGGCCGGACTCCGGGCCCCGCCTGTCGGACGAGGAGATACAGGTGGACGATTGAAGGCAGAGCCGCCGCCCTCGCTCCGGAGCGGAGACTTCTAGCCCTCTCGCCCCTGCACCGCGCACCCGGTCCGGGGTGCGGATGGAGGGTGGCTGTCGGCCTCGGCCTCTTCCAGCTCACAGTGCAGACGCCCACCTTTCCTAGTTATTGAGAATAAAGTGGAGACTCCTTTGCGCCCCGCCTCAATCCCGCCCCGAGCGGCGAGAGCAAAATCTGCTGGTTATTTCGGGTATTCCTTGCTTGGCATGTGCGGAGCGGTTTTCTTTAACCCTCATGGCAAGCAACCCTACAAGGTAGGTGATCTGATTGTGGCCATTGTACAAAGGAAGAGCCCTTGGTCAGGATTGGCCCCTGGCATCTCTCCGGCCTTCAGAGCTCAGGAGACTCGGGGCTGCGCGGAGGGGGATGAACTCCAGTAGCTGCGGGAGGACCTCCCCTACGAGCTGCCTGGGTTGCAGTTCCCCTTGCCTTTGATCCCCCGAAACCTCTGAGACCTTGACCCTAACCTCAAGCCGGGCCCCAAATTGAGGACGTTTTGCCCGACTTTTTTTTCCCACTTGAGGCCATTTGTTAATGGAGCCCCGCCCCTTCTCCCCACCCCACCTGAAAGAACCCTAAGCTGAGTCACAAGTGATGCAAAGTGAAGGGGGGGGGGACACCCCTACTTCCGGGACCTCCACTCCACTCTGGGGCGGGAAATGTTCCCACTAGGATGGCAGAGGCGGCGGCGACAGGGTGGGGTGGCCCCGACCACCGAGGCGGAGGTTGGAGTAACTGCCTACCTCCACTGGCAGACTTTTCTGAGATTAATGTATCCCACTGGTGACTAATCACCCTGGTGCAGTGTGATGGGGAGGGAAGAGGAGCACTCAGTAGCTACAGACCTTCGTCTATGCACGTACCTCCCAGATAATCAGCGGAAGACTGTGCTTGGGTGTCTTTCCTGCTTCCCCTCTCTCCCAGGCAGTCCCTTGTCAGATCTTCCCATGCATCTGCCCAGGAACCACAGGCTCACTCGAAAGGGTTCAGGAGGCTCAGCTGGGGTCTCAGTTGCAGGGGAGGCCCCAGGAGAGGATATTTCAGGGAGAGGGAACAAGGCTGGAAGGCAGAGGGAACCTGGCCTTTTCAGACCATGGCTACCACTCACTGAGCAGTTCCAGGTGCCTTGCAAGGATTAATCTTCACAATAACCCCAGGAGATAATGAGGCTTTAATTTCATTTTAAGGATAAGGAAACTGGATGGATCACAGAAGCCCAAGGGAACTTGGTCATGTCATGAAGCTTCTAAATGGTGGGGCTGGGACTCACCTGCTTGTCTGACTCATAGCTCATGCTGTTGGCCACGTTAGGTTCTGTCCCTGTAAGTGTGACTGGGCCTAACTGAAAGAAAAGAGATTACAGAGAGAGCGGGGGAGACGGGCCAAGGGTAGAAATGTAGGCATTGCACTGTAGACAGAACCTGGTCCTTGGGGGTTTTGGAGGAGAGGCATGAGAGCAGTGTTTAGGGTGGACAGAGACTGAGGAAGTAGTGTATTTCTGGCTACTGCAAAAGGTAAGAGCAGTGAGAATTCAGGGCCAGACTTGGAGTGGGGAAAGACAGAGGTTGTCAGAAAAGATGAATCAGTGTGATTCTCCCAGTGACGAAAAATTGCATGAGTCAGTGACAACCTTGCAAACCTGGGCAACTGGAAAATGGCATCATGGACATAAACAGACAATGATAACTAGGAGAGAGCTACGAATCTGTCAGCCATTATATACAAAAAGTATTTGTAACTGTGTTGTCCCTTCAATACACACACACACACACACACACACACAACCTGGTTCATGTTCAAGGCCCTTGCTTATCTCCTTTTTCCCCCTTCTAAAGGCCTCTCTGGAACCTTTAGAGTAGGGTGACCAACTTATTCCTGTGTAACCAGGACTTCCTTCCCAGTTTTAGCATTGAAAGCCCCACACCCTAGGGAACCCCTCAGTCCCAGGAAAATCAGGATGGATTAGCGCTCTGCTTTCCAGCCCTGGGGGCTCAGAACTCAGGCTGCTTTGTCACAACCCTACTGGTTAGCAGCATGAGTATGGGGACAAAATGTCAGGAGTCCTGTGGCTCTCGGAGAAGATTCAAGTCTAGGATAAGAGGGAACATGTCTTTGAGAGGCTGGAAGAGCAAGGAGCCAGCTCAGCCGGAAAGCAAAGATACCACATAGTAGTGGTAATCAGCTATTCTTAGAGACGCCAGGAGCCTCAGTGGAGTCCCCAAAGCAGAGAATTACCCCCCAGAACAAGGCCAGATGGGCAGGGCTCTGGTGGAGTCGTCCCTTAAAACAACCTCCTCTCCCCAACACCACGCCCCGACCAGGCATACGCAAAGAACTTCCAGGGCAAATAATTCTACTTAGGAAGGTAGGGGCCAGTCAAGTTCGTTGGTTCTGAGCCATAACCCTCCTCCACTTGAGGTTTCCTAAATTCTAGCCCAGCGCTGCCATCTCTTATCATCAAGCCTTGAACAAATAAAACTCAAACCTATCCTTCAAAAGGGCCTCTGGATGGGCACATCCGGATCACCTGGAGGACCACTGAAACACGAATTGCTGGGCTCCTGCCCTGCAGATTCCGATTTAGAAAGTCTCCGGTGGGGCCTGAGAACTTGCATTTGTAACAAGTTCCCAGGTGACACTGATGCTGCTGGTCCAGGGACCACACTTTGAGAACCAACGTCCCAGGAACTCTGTATTTTGTGAAATAAGCAGCATTTCACTCATACTCCTCTCTTCCCACCATGGGAATCATGAATATGTAGGACAGTTGCAGATAAAAATTGGTTTATTTAACAGTCACTATGTACCAGGCACTTGGTATATATTTTCTCACTTTCTCTTTCAGTCCTCACAACAGCCCTGTGAGGTAGGAACTGCACCCATTTTACAGATGAGGGAACTGAGGCACAGATGTTGAGAGACCTGTCCAAGGTGACCCAACTAAAAATGGCAGATTTTATCCTACTATACAGTTTCAACACCTCCTATCTCTAGGTATGAATAGTATTGAGCAAGACCCATATAAGGCAGCAGGAATCACTTATCCCGATGAATGGTTCCTCTTGGGAGGGCATTCTGGGAGGCCTAAAAATCCCCTGGAGATCCACATTTAAATGAGCTGAGAGTTCCAGGCAAGGCTAGGTAGGAACCAGCCAGGGGCAGCTGCCAGAATCAGAGAAACCAAAAAGAACTGATTTTTACATAGGAAGTAGAGACTTATGTCCATCTCTTGGGGCAGCGACCCTTGGTGGGAAAACTGAGTAAATGCACGCAGGTAAAGACTAGTTACAATGCCTAGTGCTGAAGTGAAGAACAGGGCAAGGATAGCCCATCAGCAGGAGAGCCAGCAGGGGGAAGTGTGGAGCTGTATGGGCTCTGCCAGCTCCAGGCAGGAACTGGGTAAGGGAATTCCCAAAGGCAAACCCTTGGTGAATCTTCTGGCAGTCAGAGGAAGTGAGCATCAGACCACTGGGCCAAGGATAGGTCACATGTGCACAAAAATATGGACAGGAAACAAGTCATGAGGGGCTGGGGCTGGAGAAAACAGGGCAAGGACTAGAATTAAGATGAGGTGAGCACCACAAGGTGAAGGGCGGGACTCAGCCTTATTCATCACTATGACCCCATTCCCAGGCACAGAGCTCTGGCTAGCGAATGAGTTCCCCAGGGCCAGGAGCAGAGCAAGCCTCAAATGCCCCCTATAGTCTTAACACCTGAACTTTTGTACTTGTAAGGTTCCCTTCTTGAGCCTTGGTGGATTTTATTTTTCCTTATTGCCCAGAAGAAGCCATCTGCTTGAGAACAAAAGATAGGCTGTTTTAGTGGTCATGGGGCCTCCTTCTCTCATTAGAAGGTCTCTGTGGCAAGAGGAATGACTATCAGGGGTGTCTCTAACTATGGTTTTGAAGTACAAGGTCTCAAAATATTCAGGGAACAGCCACCACACAGTGTCCCTCGTCCTTGTGGGATATAACCATGGCCTTGTCCTATGAGGGACAGGTCTTCCCTCATCTGGCCTGAGGTAGATGCTGGGGCCCAAGTCCCAGGGTGCCCCAGCCCTTTGAGGGGTTCTGGAGATGGAGAGGAGGTCTTCTACTCTGAGTCTGGGGGTGGGGCTGGTTGGAGAGTCTTGGGTGAGGAGGTGGATAGTGCAAGGGTGGAGACAGAAGGCCAGGAGGGGCCCTTGGAGCAGTGCTTGGAGGGTGACTGAGGGAGAGAAGGCCCGAGGCCACAGGCTCAGTGTGGGGAAACGGCTGGGGGAACCCAGTTGGCGGAGGTGGTGCACGGTATCCTCCTCGCTGATCCTGCTGAGAAGGGAAAGGGAGGGGCACCTGATATACTCCTTGCAGCACAGCTCCTGCCCCTCATCCCACTCATTCTGCCCCGCCCCCTGCCCCACTGAGGCAGAAGATAGCACCGTTTGGTGTTGCAATCACAGCCAATTCTCCCTGCTGCCCCTCAGCAAGAGCACGCCTGGCCCCCTTACCATAGCCAGCTGCAGGAGACAAGTGTGGAGCTCGCGAGCGGCATCCGGCTGGGACCCACCTCTCAGAGTCTCCTGGAACACAGCAGCTGCCTCCTCGAAACGCTTTGGTCCCAGATTAGAGAGGAAAGTTTAGGTACTGGGGGGAGGGGAGCGGTCAAGGAACTCCAAAGTGCCCCTTTTCTCCGACTGGCCCCCAGCTCCTAAAATCACTGACATTGTGACATTGCGGTACATCGAGCTTACCTAGAAAATGTCAATGTCAACCCAATCCCCACCATCCCACCCAAATTCCTCCTCTGCATCCAATGTTGGACCCAGTACCTGCAGTCCCATCAAGGCCTTGCCCAGGCGGAAGAGGCCCCGGGGCCAGCCAGGCCGCAGGGTAAGGGCCACCTGAGCATCAGCCAGGGCCCACGCCGGCTGACCCAGCCTCTCGTGGCAGAAAGAGCGATTTCCAAATAACCTGATGAAGACA